AAAAACTCATGCTAGGAAAACTCTCTTTTTTCCTCGGTAAAATGTTTACACATTGTAAACCTCCGAGGGAACGCTAGTTCACTGATAAGTGGTATAGAAATGTCCTGACTACTGCCATTGCTATAACACTAACAACATCTTGACAAATTGCAGACCTGTGACTAACAATAGCATGTATTTTCCCCCCTCTTATATGATTTTAAACACCTTTGCCTGATGAAGCAGCCAATGGAGCTTCAACAGCTTGCATCATACATTTTGTGCATTTTGGTTGTTCCAATAAAGGTATCACTGCTCTGTGGATTTTGGGTGTTGCTGTACTTTGCTATATGGCCAATGTGGCTACCCTGGGTAAGTTATCCATTTCTGCCATCTTCAGTAGTTTAGCTGCCCATACTTCCATGCCTGGATTTTCCACATTTCTCTGCATTTGTGGAAAGAATTTGCAAAATTTCTATTTGTTGCACGTAACTCCTGCGTTTGGGAGAAACTCTCCGTAGCTCTAGAGCCCCAAAGTCAGATCTTTGTGAGCTTTCTGCCTGGATGAAGCAAGACAGGACTAGGTTAGCTGCAAATCCTGCACACCAGACTGCACTTGCTGCATAAAGAAAAGCCCAGATCCAATTAAAGAACTGTGTTGCAACCTCTCCTGGAAAAGTCTGATCCGGTGATCCGTACTGAGACTCCAAGGGAGGCCAGCCCCAGTTCTTTTGGGCTTTAAATTCTTTCCAATGGAATAGAAAGGAAGGTTGAATTATTCAGAAGGGATGCAAATAGATTCTCCTTTGCCTGCAGAAACCTCAAGGGTACAGCCCTGCGATTAATCACCCCAGGACCAGAAAGAAATTCAATAGCTGGAGGTCTTTTTTTGGTCTCAAAGTCAGATTTCCATTCACTCCCCACTTCTTTGTGTTTTGTAATTGTTGGAGCCATGAAGTGTGGCAATGGTCCCTCTTTGCCCCCAGCTTCTTAATCAATGCTATGAGAAACTGGAAAGGTATTGCAATAGCTGTGGATGTAGAGTTTTCATAGCATTCCCATTGCACTGCTTACTGCCAAAAGACTCCACTTTGCTAGGGTTAGAGTGTGTTTTGCTGTAGGGAATTGTACAGCATGGATTGGGCAAGTCACATACTCTCATCCTCAGGGGGAGACAATGGCAAACCTCCCCTGAAATCTTGCCAAGAGAACCCCATGATAGATTCACCATAGGGTCTACATAAATTGGAAACAACTTGAAGGCACACAACAATGGCAAGGACAACAATTCTGCTGTGCCACAGTTGGTGATGCCAACGGGCATCACACCAGGCATCTACCACTAGCCATTCAATTTACTTTTGGTTTTTATTTCAGACTTCAAAAATAATTGTCCAAGAATTATCTATATTTATTCAGAACCTTGGACAGAGCCATTAAATAAATCTATATTTATTCAGAACCTTGGACAGAGATTGGACAGGCATCCTCCAGGAGTGCTTTAGTTGTGAATTCTTGTATGGCAGGGGATGGGAATAGATGACCTTTGTGTTCCCCTTCCAATTGGCACCAGTCTTCTGTATTAGCTATTTAGTTAAGTATACTTAAGTAAGTAGCCTTTTCTGGCCCGAGTCTCCCCAAACCTGATGGAAACATCTTTCATCCATGCTCTGATCACTGGCAGGATGGATGGCCATCTCCTCACGTAGCTGATGCCCATTGAAGTAGTTTGGGAGAGGTGTCATGATCATGGCAATGGTGTCACAATCATGTTTAAGCAGTGGTTGTGAATATGGAACAGTTACAGAGGAGTAAACCTAGGGGTTTTTGTCATTCTTAGTTGACTTTGACCCATGGCGACTTCATGAACCAGAGACCTGCTCAGGTCCTGCAAACTCAGGGCAGCCATTATGGCTTCCTTGGTTGAGTCTCTCCATCTGCAATGTGGTCTTCTTCTCCTTCTCCTACTGCTTTCTACTTTGCTAAGCATTGTTATCTTTTTCCATGGTATGTCCAAAATCTGACAGCCTCCGTTTAGTCATCTTGGCTTCTAGAGAGAGTTCAGTCCTGATCTGCTTTAGGACCCATTGATTTGTCTTTTTAGCATTAGTATCCATAAAATTCTTCTCCAGCACCACATCTCAACTGAGCTGTTTTTCTTCCTATCAGTTTTTGGATCTATCCTACATTTCCCCACCATTTCTTCTGCATCTGGTGCAACATGCTTGGCTCATAAGGAAGAATGTAATTTTTTCCTCCCCAGATCTCCTGGAAGGAAACATTAACTTTTATGGCTTGGCCCAGTACTAGGAGATGAGGAGGAACAGGTGAGATTGCATTGCTCCTCAGAAGCCAAGGAAAATGGGGATAAAAGAGGGAAATCAGTTGTTGTTGAGAATGCATAAAACAACTGGGAGTCCATAAGAGAAAAAAGTGACGAAGAACAAAGAATGCAGATGAGAGAGAAAGCTGTAATATTGCTCCTGGGGTTAATCAGACATTTAACTAGAAGAACAGCAGCAAAAAACCCACTGAAGATGCTTAAACGGATCTGCCATCAGCAGAAAGAGCCATTAAGGCCTTCCAGATTTTGTCCGTTTCTGGATAATTAGTGCACCGTGTAAGACATGGCTTCTTCCCCCACATCCACCCACAGCTTTTGGATGTGCAAAGGAAGAAGCCTTCAGAGGTTGTGTTTGCTTTCCTTTCCTTTATTAATGTGCTGTTTATTCTGTTCTGTTTAGCTACGATGGCGGTGATGGAGGTGGAAGCTACATCTTCTGGAAGAGAGGGAGCAAAAGCTGCCATGGACCAGGAAAGGTTGATGTAGACAGATGGTATAACACAGTGGGCCCCAAACTTTGGTCCTCCAGATGATTTGGACTTCAGCTACCAGAATTCCTGGCCATTGGCCAAGCCAGCTGGGACTTCTGGGAAATGAGGTCCACAACACCCAGAAGATCAACGTTTGGGAACCACTGATATAAAGTAATAGGATTAGGAAAACCAATGTTCTTACCCCAGCCTAGAACACCTTCTTCAGAGTTTGGAAGACTCACTTTTTTGGACTGCAATTCCCAGAGTCCCTCAGCCAGGCAATTGCAGTCTGAAAATTAGCTTTTCAAGCTCTGATTCTTCAGAAATTCCATCATGGGCAGCACCAAAAGAGACAAATTGAAATTCTTTATTACGGTCAAAGAGCAGCATCAGTATAAAATTTAGCATAGACAAATGCTTCCTTCAGTTTCCTTCAAAAGGAGAGGTACTCTTCTTCCTTGAAAGTTTTCAAACAGAGATTAGATAGTCCTATTTCAAGGGTGATTTAGCATGACATGAGGTTGGATTAGATGGACTTTGCAGTTCCTTCCAGTTTTCCCATTTTACAAAATGGGAAATGGAGGCAGAGGTCAAAGGAGGCGGAAGACAACTAGTGTAGACGACTCTGTTCCCAAGGACCATTCCCTGCTGTGTGCTCAAGATGTTTTTAAAGGAACATTTTGCTTAATGCTAATGGAGTTTAAAATTGATTTCATATTCCTCGTTAACATTTGCATTGCCAAGACCTCCTCGTGTAATTAGCTAATCACATTTATAAACAATTTTCTGCAAGGACTAATTTGGAGGAAAAGGTTCAGGGGGTCCTGGAAGACTTAATTGGGGTCACCCTGCCAGGTTCCATCTTGGGGGACTGCCAAATCCTCTCCCTCTCCAACCATTGCATGATATTCTGCTCCAACAAGTTCAGGGAAACAGGTTGGGTTGCTCTGAGACGCCAGCTCTTGGTTTAGGATTAAACGATGGAATGAATGGAAGCGAACACATTTAACATGCGTTGAACTTTTCCAGATGAAAGCAAAGGCCTACCTGGTCCAGCATTCTGCCTCCACAATGGACAGCTAGCTTTCGACAGGATATCCATCACCAGCTGCATCCTTCATCTCCGATTCCTCTCCAAGCCTGGAATTAGGGATGTCGATATGGGGTTGGTGGTGGAACAGTAGGGAGTATTGTCTACTCCAAAGAAGAATTATGTCCCAATGAATTTTTCCTACAACCTGCTTCCCCCATTTTTTACTATCATAAATAATCAC